GAGTTACTGAGACGTTGACCAAATCATAGCCTTTAACACCGCCTGAAATTGTTTTATCTGTCTACTTGTCTATCACTCTCCACATTCCACAACAAATAAAATACAGACATGTGCATACACACATGCGCGCACGCACACACACACACACACACACACACAGGCTCCATGAGAAGAAAGACTCTGCATGCCTTATTCACCTCTGTGTTTCTGCTGTTAGGACAGTGCCTGGCACATTCTTCAACAGCATGCATTGAGAACCTTTTCTAAATACTATCTATAGGGGCTTGATAAATATGTATTGAATGAATGGATGAATAAAGTCCAGTAAAATATGATTCCTTTAAATTCTTGTTAATCAGCAAAATAACAAAGGAAATGTAAATTAATGGTAATGGTTTGTGGTCATAAATATTGCATCTTAAGAAGTAATTAGTTTAGGGGCGCCTGGGTGGCTCAGTCGTTTGAGCATCTGACATCGGCTCAGGTCATGATCTCGCAGTCTGTGAGTTTGAGCCCCGCGTCCGGCTCTGTGCCGACAGCTTGGAGCCTGGAGCCTGCTTCAGATTCTGTGTCTTCCTCTCTCTGCCCCTCCCCTGCTCATGCTCTGTCTCTCTCTGTGTCAAAAATAAATAAATAAATAAATAAACATTAATTTTTTTTAATTTGAAGAAGTAATTCATAAATTCATATATCACATATCTAAAATATTCTTATTTGGTGCAATTGATATAACACCATTACATACAGTAAAATAAATTGAGATGTAATAAGGTTTTGAATGTTCTCTAGTGAAACTATACAATTATTTATAGAAAAATAAAATTGATTAAAAGTAATTGTGGTATGAAGAATGGCATTTGAAGCATTGCATTAAAGACAGAAATCCTAAAGGTAGAGGATTATAAATTTGATCACACAACAGCCCCTTAACACATGCATAACCCTAAAAACATTAATATGCAAAAATGGGGGAAATATTTAGAAAATATGTAAGACAAATAGTAAATGATGTCAGTTTATAAAGAATTCCTATAAGTCAGGGCGCCTGGGTGACTCAGTTGGTTACGCATCTAACTTTAGCTCAGGTCCTGATCTCTCAGTTTGCAGGTTCGAGCCCCGCATAGGGCTCTGTGCTGACAGCTCGGAGCCTGGAGCCTGCTTTAGAGTCCGTGTCTCCTTCTCTCTCTGCCCCTCCCTTGCTGTGGTCTGTCTCTCTCTGTCAAAAATAAAAGTTAAAAAACTTTAAAGAATTCCTATAAGTAAATACTAAAATGAAAAACATTCTAAAGAAAAAATAGAAATGTTATGACAGACATTTTAAGGTTACAGTATAAGATAATATTTTGGTGTATAGGATCAATATGGATAAAAACATGATATAATGCACTTATGGCAAAGTTATGAAGAAAATAATGCTCTCAGTTAATGTTGAAAATCAAAGCTACTGATAGGTATTTTGATGGCTATTAGACAATATATATCAGAGGCTTCAGAATGGTTATCTTGAGGAAATAATAATGGCTTTTCTATTCGGTCAATGTAGATGTTCATAAAAATTTCATCACAGTATTATAATTGAAAACATAAATATACAACAAATGGGATTAGAAAAATAAGTTATGATTCAGTAATACAGTGTAATACCGGCAACAATACAAATGACATAGAAGATATTTTAATTGACAGAAAGAAATTTAAAATATATCGTTAGGGGACTCCCGGGTGGTTCCGTCCGTTAAGTGTCCAACTTCGGCTCAGGTCATGATCTTGCAGTTTGTGAGTTCGAGTGCTGCATTGGTCTCTGTGCTGAGAGCTCAGAGCATGGAACCTGCTTCAGATTCTGTGTGTGTGTGTGTGTGTGTGTGTGCGTGTGTGTGTGTGTCTCTCTCTATCTGCCCCTCCCCCACTTGTGCTCTGTCTCTCTCTCAAAAACACATACACCTTAAAAAATAAAAAAAAAATATTGTTGATTTTGAAAGTGTATATAAAATTGTGTACTTTATGATCCAATTATGAGTGTGAGTGTGTGTGTGTGTGTGTATGCATGCACACACACGTGTGTAGAGACTGAGATGTGCCCTCTATTAAACCTCTATTTAGTGTTCAGAAAGAATCTAAAGGGAGCTGGCAGACCCTGACTTGTCCTGTACGTGGCGGGCTTGGGGAATATTTGATGACCTTTGACACCATGATACCAAAGTTGAAGTGTCACAAGTAGATGGGGTAAACTCATGTGAACCGAACGCTTTAACATCCGAACATGCTCCGTAAAAACATGATTCTAAAAAAGTTCTGTCTGCAAAAAAATGCGCTTGACTGATGACATGGGATTTCTTCTTAGCCTAATGAGAAAGGCATTCGTTGTTCTCGGGGCTGGAGAGGCCAAC